GCATCTCACCTGTCCTAGGTTTCAGAGCTAGAAAAGAGGTAAGAGTGGAGTGCTCCCAGGGAGGTTATATCTTAAAGATATGTCTGTGGTGCAAAGTCTCTTTTCCTTGATTTAAACACTGTCAAAGATGGGGCATCTTCAGTTGAAATATAAGGCATGCATGAGGTCAGCCTCTCTAGGTTCAAATCCAAGCTCCATCTTTTAGAAGCTTTGCAAACATAACTGAACTATTTAACTCATTCTTGTCCTGATGATATCAATGATAGTATATGGTTCTTGAAGATGAAATGAGACTGTGATGAAAAGGACTTAGCACTGGGTCTAGAATATAGTCAACATACATTATATGGCAGGTGCTGCCCTTATGTCAAGGGAGAACTCCCTGCCACTCACCAAAGCCCAGCAGTTCTCCCAGAGAAGATCTAAGGAAAAACTGACTTCAGTCTGCCATAGACATGAGCAGTCACAGATTTGCCGGCATTTGGAAATAAAAAATTTGAAAAGAAACTCTTATCTTAGGATTTGACTCCTGATTTTATCTGGATCTTGTATCAGGTTTCTTCATGGAAAAGAATAACAGCTGGTTGATGTTACCCCAAAGGTTGTTAATATCTTTCAGTTTTATATCTGAAGGAACCTCTGTCTCTCTCTGTCATGCTCATTTTGACTTGAATTTTAGACAGGCTTACAGCAGGCAGCATAAAACAACAAAGTGCCCTTTAGAACTCAAGGCAGATAAAACTTTGTTATCCCTTACCTTGCCAGCAATCTGAATGTGGATTCCACTTGGCTGATAAGGACACTGATGTTGTATTTCCTCTTAGAAGTTTTGTCAGATTAAAACTGAGCAAAACCTTGTCTATTTTGTGCTCTGTATCTCCAACTTTTCACAGTAGATTTTTAAGAAAAATGTTTACAGATATAAAAATTATGGTGAAGTAATGTATGTTGAAAACTTTTAATGGGTAATCCATAATGTTGGCAAAATTCTCTTGTAAAATTAAAATAATGAGGTTAAACTAAAGGCTTAAGCTTCCCAGAATCCCTTAAAAGAAACTTAGAGGGAAACTCACTTTAGTAGCATATGTCTTTACTGGATAGTAATGTTGTGCATAGTTCTCCAGGTTAACACTGATGTTCTTTATTCTCTAACTCCATGGTGCAGACCCTGGGAGTGTAATTGCCTCAAGAACACAGTTTTATCTCTGTAGACAAACTGGACAGACACAAGGAGTGCTAACAAAAAATTACAGTGTTTCTCAAGAGAAAAATAGCCTCAGTTCTGAGTTTGTTGTTGAGTGTAGCCTTTGGATCACCACCACTTTGACCCATAGCTTTCCAATACTTTATCCAGAGAATGATTTGGAATTTCCAATCCACATAACACAAAGATTCATGGAGATATGAAAGGAAGGAAATTTTATTTTCTTACCTAGAATTCTTATCTTCAACGAAAGATGACATGGTAAAAAACAATGAGTTGAAGTACTTGCAATTTCCATGGTGAATTAATGTGTATTCCTCATTGAGAAAACAGATGGAAAAAAGACTCTGACTGTTAATTACTTTGGTCTCCTCAAGTATTCTTTTCAAAGTTCTTAAAGTCTCTAAAAGTCATGAATTTGTGAAGAGTGTTACAATTGACATCAGATTTAATTTATCCATGACATATACACAAAACTCAGCTGTAGAATTCATACAAAATACATGGAGAGTAGAATGTAGTACCCAATTTCTCTTAAGTACTTGTTTGGATTTAATTATTTGGGTGGGATGTTTATTTAATTAAGTTGATATTTGTACGCTAGAAATGGTATCTTTGTATAGCTAGGCATAATTCCTTAGTAGTAACCTTATAAACTGCTTCCCTGCTAATAAGAACTACCGCATTCTGAGTAGATAATGGGTATCCTGTATTCTCATATTTAATCTTTGTTAACAATGCAAGGAGGCAGAGGCATTAATTCTGGATTTTTGGAATGAGTTCTATAAAAGCTTTTAAGAATTTAAATAATACTCATAAGGCAAGGATGCATAGTTAGCAAGTAGAAGCATGATGATTTGAACCAGGGTCTGGAGAACATAGAGACCAGTCAGTGCTCGAGTCAGCCTTCTTTTCTGCTTCCCGTCATAGCTGGCTGCCAAGGACCTGGTCCTCACAAGATAGTTCATGAACTGAAGAGCTTATAGAATGGGCACTTGGATGATTGGTAGCAGCCAGAACAAAATTATGATATGTCATCTTACTCTTACACTTGCTCCTGATGCCTTTCAGCCATAGTATTTGCTGAGAATTTGAAAAGGGGAGTTTATGACATAAGAGAAGAAATTAAGAGCCCCTATATCTCACCTGGGGAAACAAATTAGTTTACATGGTAATATGCAGCATCTTTATATGAGAAAACTTGTATGCATATGTTTCAAAATGTGCAGCCATATAAGCATGTATATGCATACACATTTGAATTGTGTACTTACCTACTGAATGGTGTTATTGAGTTCAGTAGTGCGGGATAAGATAAGATTTATTAGCCTTTCTCAAGCTGTAGAAAATACTGCGTGCTTTGCACAACTTGTTTATTTTAAAACATAAATAAGATTTTAGAGGCTTGGCCATTGTATAGTTGAAGAATACGAGACAGATTAGTTAAATTGTCCTAGTTAGTTGAACTAATGCATGGCAGAAGTAGCATATGAATCCATGAATGTATTAGTTAGAACCCACACTTTTCTCCTGGACTTTTCTACCTCGGGTAGTGAAAGGCATTAAGCTGAGCTCAAGGTATTTTAGATCTATAAAATGCAACTTCTCTTTTGCAGTGGTTTTCTTGGATCATGATATGTATTATAAAACAAACAGCCAGTTTTCTCAAGTACATCACTTCCAGCCCCATATTCCCGGCTTTAGATTTCTCCTTGGCTCTTACCCTTGTCTGGCTGATTGTATATTAATTTATTTCTTCCTATTATAATAAATATGGTCATTGGACAGGGGCTTTATTTCCTTCATTGCCATGAGATGAGGAACAAATAAATGTTCCAAGCATATATTCATTGAAATAATGGTCACATCAGTAACCAAAAGAATTTGTGACAAAGACACACCATTTAGTGTTTATGTTGAATGATAACGGCTGACTCTTCTGTGTATAAATGTTGATTACAGTGGAGGTTTAGTTTGAATGCATTTCAAAAACTTGTTTTAATCTCAAGAACAGTAAAGGTGATTGTGTAACTCTAAGTGAAAGAAGTGAAAAGCAAAATCAATCAGTCAATCAATAAATAATAATCTCCTTATCCCGTCCTTTCTTTGGGTTACCATGAGAAGTCTTCTGTTACTTTTAGGAATAATTCATGCAATGCAAAAAAAAGTGATCCTGTGTGCTTGGAAGCGAGGGGTATTCATCATATTGAAACAGCTAAAACTTTTCAATCCCATCCATTAACTCACGAAGCTGCGAGTGGCTGCGATGCCGCCTTGCCCATCTATTTAGTATTTCCAGACAATCATGGTACAGTACAAAGCAATTTGTTTTTATATAATTTCCTTCATGCACTCAAACACAACATGCATCACAGGAAAAGCCAATCATGAGCTGAAGAGAAAAAGGGATGATTTAAAGCAAGAGAGTGGTTCATTTGCTTTGGGGTATGAGAAACAATTATTTCAATAGGCCAGGATTGCTGCAGGAAGTCAGGTGAATGAGAATGCCTGCACTGGTAGACTGCTTTGCCTAAGTAACTTCTTTTTAGAGGATTTCTTACTGAGCATAAATGGGCTTTTAATATGATGAAGCCCAGGTTTGCCTTCTGTATACCTGTGAGCCTTATTTCCATTTTTCCCTACTTTTTCAAAAGATAGTCTGCCCTAACATGGAACAACAGTCACAAATACTGTTGCTTTTATCATACATTCTGCATATGGAATGCATTGAGATTTTAGCCACTTTCAAGGACTTAATCTTCAAATAAACTCTTTTTAGCTCTGTGAAAGCTAAAGCATTTTTTATTTGTTTTTTATTCAGTTGTTTGTTTTTGAAGAGAACTAGTTCCTTTGCCTTTCTAAATACAAAATTTTCAACTTCTTTTGTGTCTGCCTGACAAATATAACCAGGTATTTATTTGATTTCTCTAATAAGCTGAAAAGTAGTAAAGATCTTTCCAAAATACCAGGCACTGCAAGAGGATTTATAACTATGGGGAAAAATTTCACAGGGGGATGGTTTCAGAAAGGTTTGCTGGCCCCAGAGAGCTCTGTATGATGGATGCTAGGTAAGATAGATTGGCTAGTTAAAGCAGTTATAGCTTGCAGGATTGACACATTTCTCCAGGATCCTGTTGAATTTGAAGAGGCCAAAATCTTTTAATCTATGTCCTCAGGTCTTTGTTCTCTGTTCTGCCTTTTGGGTAGTAGGATCTCAGACAACCTTATCACAAATCAACAATGAGTTAATCCATATTAATGGAAATCTGGGCATCACTGGGTGAACTTGTGTCTCATGAGTCATAGGACACCGCACATTTCTTGTGTTCCAATTTTCTAATTCCCTTGTCATTAGTAAAGAACTGACTGCACATCTTCTTTCTTCTCATTTTTAATTTCTATTCAGTTTTTGCCTATTTCTATTGCTTTCACAAAATACCCAAGGCTGGATAACTAATAAATAAAAAAGGTCTGTGGAACTCATAGTTTTATAAATTATAAGATTAAAATCAAGTGTTTGATCTCTAGCAAAGACCCAAGTCACAACATGATAGAGAAGCAGAAAGGGAAATGCTCACATGGAAATGAAGCATAGTATTTCCTCAATTTATCACAGCTTGTTCTTGCAAAAGCTAATACATTCCACAAGACCAGCATTAATCCCTTCCAAGGGTGATGCCACTACTGATGTAACCACCTCCCACTAGGCTTCATATCTTATTGGTTTGTCAGCTCTCAGCATCACACTGGGGCATGCTTCCAACACAGTAAGATTTATGCATCACACCCAAACATATGCAATCCAGAGACATCTTCTTTATTAGAAAGATTGACACAGAAACATAGAACACACAAACACAGAAGCTGCTACAGGAAAGTTTAGCCTTCTCCCCCTTTCCCTCCAGCACCATTTCTATCAGGAATAGCCTGTCCTCTACCCCAATCTTCTGTCACTTCCACCTCTTCCTTGGCTCCTCACCAGCTCTTCTCTGAGTCTACACATGACATCCATGTTCCATGATGCATATATGATCAGGTTGGTATCCCTGATGAAAAGCCTCTGATTCCAAAGATCAAATTTCCCATCCACATGAACTCTCTGATGCTTGCTCCATTCTCCCAGCTCTTCCCACTCCCTTTGCTCTTCTTCCCATTATTGCAGCTGCATGGATCTTCTTTCAATCCCTTGAAAGTATTTTGCCTCCTTCCATTCCTCTGATCCTTTGCACAGGTTGTTCTTAGGTTTACTTTGTTTTTCCTCCCCAGACTCATAGATCTCTGAAATGACTTGCTTTTGTAGACTGGTGGTGCCTCATCAGTGATTATCAAGGTTTATGGAACCTGTAAATCACCCATTAACTCCTGCTTGAGCGAGTTAGAGTTTAAAGTTGCATCACTTTGAGATGGCATTGCCACAGGATAGATGGCCCATGTTTTCTGCAGAGCATAGAATAGCATGATAAGCATAAAGACAGAGAGCATGCTTCCAGCGGGAAACCACAGCAGATGCATTTCAGCCAGGTGAGCAGAGTTGCATCAACAGCATAAGCTATGTCAAAAGTATGTCCATTTGACAGGATGGAAAGAAAATTTATCTTTACCTCCATAGTCTCTCCCAATGCCCACACTCCCATCTATGGTAATCGTGAGCAAAGCATCAAAGAAGTCCATTTTTAGGGACGTTATAGAATACCCAAGTGACATTTTTATTAACTTCCAAGGTTTCACAACTAGGGAAAAGCTGAGAAACAGTCACAGCCAATAGGAACCTAAGGAGCCATGACAATTCAAGATGCCATTACTGTCGGGTACTGGATGGAATCCTGGAATAGGAAAAGGACATAAAAGGGCATTATTCCAAATGAAGACTTCAGTTAATAAATACTTATCAGTATGGGTCCATTAATATGACCAATGTGCCCCACCAACCTGTTAATAAGATGGAAACTGGGTGAGGAGGATAAGAAGACTCTCTATTTACAATTTTTAAAATAAATCTAAAGCTGTTTTTTAAAAAATGAAATCAGTAGAGACAACTAAAAGCCATGGGCAGTCACTCTGCAACAGCCCAGTAATGAGTCCTTCTCCCTGGTGCCCTGCACCGGGACTAATCTGTGATTCTGCCTCTCTGTACCTGGGGATCTCTCCTCTAAGCAGCATACTGCAAACAGTGGAGAATTCCCTCTCTGCAGTCCCTCTCCTACTGTCCTGCCAGAGGATTTTATTTTAGCCTGCTTCCAATAGCACTCAGCAGCCACCGCAGGCAAATATCTGGCTGCCTCACATGGTGTTGCTATTGTTCAACACGCTGGGGAAAAATGAGCCTTCTTGCAAGACTCTGGGACTCTGAGCAAATAAACACAGAAAAAAATGGTGCATGTGAGGGTTTGTGAGGTCTAGAGAAAGACTAGGAAACAAGATGATTTAAATTAAACCATGCTTAATTTGATTCAGAGTTTGGGCAGAAATCCTGCCTTTTATTCCAATTTGCAGACTTCCTCAGTCTTATTGGAACCACTCAGCTCATATTGTAGGTACAGAGAATTATTGACTCCAGGCATTCCATTCCTAGAGCCTAGGCCTGGAAAGAGCTATTTAGAACCTCCATCTTTCCAGCTGAGCTACGTGGTCTGCATAAGGGCCTCTCTATTGTTTCTTGTTGTCTGAGTTGTGGGTGCTGGACATACCCATTTAGACTGAAATGGATGAGGCCTTAAGATCTCTGAAAATCCCACTGATGGCTTGTTAGCCGTATGGAAATTTATCTCCCAACATTTAGCAGACCCCTATTGGGAGGGCAAAGAATGATCTCTGTGGCTGCTGAGATTCACCCTCCAGCTGTGTGGCTATAGAAACATTTATTCTGTGGAATCTCAGCTTTCTGATCTACACTGTGGAGAAATGCTGGGAGCTGCTGCACAGGGCTATACGATGATTAAGTGCATCAACCCATGCATGGGACTTTTGACAGTACCTGGCATCTTGTAATTTTCCAATAAATGTTAGCCCTTCAAAATCAATTGTGTGTCCTTTAAAATGTTAAGCACGAGCATTTCACATTTCATCTTCTCTTGATGTGAGGAGGTGGAGAGCTGTTTGTCAGGTCTTGTCTTATCTTTGAAAAAGATTAGAAGTTTCCAGCCAGGATGTAATTGTCATAGAGGGGACTTAAATTTTGTTTGGATTAATTCATTAATCAGTCTTACTTGATCTCAGATAGAGATCAAGTTGGGAAGCCTGCATTTTTATTACTAATAATTTTTAATAGATTTCATCTATTGAGGAAATACGATGGACCTTACTGGGTGCATAGTAGGATATAGATACTGTTATTTGTGTCACTTGGTCTAACGTCAGAAAAGCCAAGGGACATCCCAGTTGCAGGAATAACAAAGAGGGGAAGCTGAGATTCAGAATGGGGTTGGCAGTTTGCAGAGCTGTTCTCTTGATTGCTGTGTTATGGTGCTTCTGTTTGTTCACCAACCTAGAAAAAGAGTGGTTAAAATAACTTCTGCCTCTCTGTTTTTATGGGGAAAAGGCGAGAAGGAAGTTAAGTGCTCTTAGGAGTATAGTCGATGCCAGAGGGAATCCTAGAATTTTCACTGTATTAAGGTAGCAAGGTCAAGATGACCAGAGTGTCTTCCCTCCTTATTTACCCCCTGGTCCTGCCAGTGTCTGCAGAAGGTTGCTGGTTTGGCTGAAGTTTTCCCTCAGCTTGCTTCTTTGGAATCAGTTGTTAAGAGCAAACATTCAGATTGTTGCTGAGAAAGGTCTTTTGACTGTTCACAGTCTTTACCAGTAAGTTGAGATAGGGATTTTTATTCATCAGATAGGAGGATTTGCAGTGACTTACTTCAGAGCCAAAGTATATTCTCAAAATTAAAGAAACAAACGAAACAGCCTCTGGTTGTCTCATTACCTCCTAGCCACATGCATTCATTAATGCTTGCTTTGCCAGATGAAATGGCAATGATTTAACCAGAAAGCGTCATTCCATCACATTCTGTTGCCTTTGATTTTTATTCACTTCCCCAATTAATACATTCTACTAATTCCTTTATCTTTTGTCTTCTGGGCCAAAAGGTTCAGACACACAAGAAGACAGCCAACATTTGACTGCCTACTGTGTGTATGACATGGCATTATGTAAGTCAACAAAAACTTGAGGATATTCAAAAATGCAATTGAAACTACACTGCATGAATTTGAAGCTTCATCCAGTGTTTAAAATTAAAATCAGGATATTGGACCATTAAATTAATGGGATGAGCGCTATGTCCTTCAAGATTTCAAAAACACTGCCCCTTAACTGTTAATTAGAAAATATAGTGGTTACAGGACATGAGGAATAATTTTGGTTATTTTCAATGTGCTGTGTGTGACTGTGTGAATTATTAACTCTGAGTAGTTAATTTCCATGGTTTTATGAAGTACTTCCAGCCTGCACCTGTTCTTATTTTCAATTAAAAATATGACATACAGATTTTAGTCTATGTCTTGTAATGAAAATAATGAGGGGGGAACCCTTTCTTGTACTTTTGCATAATTGTGTAATAGTTCTTTGTAGCATTTCTTCTAAGTCAACCTGCCGTACAGACTTGTCTGTGAAAGATCGTGATGTGCCAAAATTCTGGCAGAGAAAATTTGGACTGCTATTGGTCATATATTTAATTCTATTACATTTGTGCTTCTGGGACCAAAAGTTCTTATCAAATTTATTGAGATTATTTTAACATTTTGAAACAGATTGCCCATGCTATATTTAGAAAAAAGAAATCCAAGTGATAGATGGATATACTCACAGCTTACCTCTCAAATTTTTATTATAGTTGACATTTAGACAATTTTGAAACTCTCTACTATTCTGTTTTATAGAAAAGGCAATGACACTCAGTCCTATCCAGGATTATTATGCAATTGTAACCATCCAGGGAATGATGGACCATCACTTCCTTGACAAAGGATTTGTAAAATAGATTATGCAGTTTCAGGAGTATTTGAAATAATAGTCACTGAAACACATTTGTAAAAGGTAGGTTTTACTAAATGTGTTTTTCACTAGAAGCTATTCACTTGTTCTTCTCCAATGACCAGAAAAAACATGACTATGCTCTAGTCTTTTACATAGAGAGCAATGTGACTGGTGTCCCCTAGAGCTGTTCAGTGTGTAGTCTACAGTTTGGAAGAGTCTGAGTTTCTTTAAGTTAATTGACTTGAAAAACAATACTTTGACTTCATGGGGTCTTGTCACATCCATTGCCTTTTATTCTTTTTTGGCAGGTAGACTTTGCAGTCACAGAGACCCTGAAATGCCCAAATTCTGTCATTACACCCAGCCTCTTAGAGTCTAAAAGTTTTGCCTTTAGCTACCTTCTCAGTAATGCTTTTCAGCCTTTCTTCATATTACAAATACACAATATAGGCTAGTTCATTACACTCAGTCACTGAACCTGATTCAACAGGTATTGGACCCATGTTGAAGAGAGGGAAACACAGAGAACAAAGGTGAACAAATTGAGCTATCATGTGTTAATGAGAAACTTAGAGCCTTGGAACAAGATTGGGAGGTGCTGAAAACATTGTTTTCCAGTCATCCCCCACCTGGCTAATCAGAATACCCTGGCAGGCTTCTCCAATACCAGTCTTTGGAGTACATTCACCATTTTTGCCAAGATTAAGCAAATCAGAATTTTTGAGATGAGGCACTGACATAAACATATCTTACAATTTTCCCTTGAATTAGGAGCCACTGAATTAATAAAGTACTAAGAAAGGAAAATAAATACAAATATCAGGAGAACCTGTTTATGCATTCATTGATCCATCTACTTGTTCACTTACTTAAAAAACATTTTTAAAACTTCCTAAGTACCATACACAGTGAAAAGATTTGGGAATACAGTTGAGAATAAAACGGATATGAAAAGCACAGATTATCATTTCTATTCAAGTTATTTTGAATGGCAAAAAAGAAAGTTCTTGTTTTAAAGCTTCAATTACTAATATATCACGCAGTAGATTTATATTACTCAAGTCTGTGAAATTCTTCTGTTCCTAATACTCACTGTTTCTCCAGATATGGATATGCCTTACCTTCTCTTGACTAATTTGCCAGGATAAAACGTGTAACAAAAGACAAATCTTACAAATGCCACAATGCTCAGGTCTGTTTCCTTAGTGCTTTGTGAATTTCCATAGTACAGAATATACATAAATAACCCATGGCCAGGCTCCTTAACTTAGGCAAGGTGTTCAATTTGTCCAATATGAGACCACCTGCTCGTATGTCATCCCCTGGCACCAGCCCACACATTTATGTGCCAGGACATATGAAATTAAGTTTACCTGATGCGCTCTGACAGCAGCTTTCTGTTACAACGTGCAAATTAGATTAGGTTAAGGTAGAGGGCAGAGTGAATGGATGGCTTCCTAGATTGATACTAGAATACTGATGGCTACAACCAGAAGGTGACTGGTTATGGTCCAGCTTGGGTCATTGGTAATCACACAAGTCCCTGTTATTGATGCCTGTGCAATGGCCTGTGGGGAAATGCATGGCTTGTTTTTTATTGGATTTTGCCATATAGCCAAGCATCAGATTGCTAGTGGGACTTCATTGACCTCCAGTCTGGAATGTGAGGAATAAAGGTCAAAGGTGTGAATGGGTGACGGAGACTAAATAAGCTAGTTGTCTCTTGAATGTTGCCTCGGCCCTCTACAGAATGTGTATTACGGGAATAAAACAGCACAGTGTCCAACCTGATACTCCAGGATCCCGCGGAGTCTAGAGTTGATGTGACCTTTGGGTCCCTCAAGGAACTCATCCACAGTTCTCCCAGCATGATGTGATCTCATGCAGACTTGAAACTCTACTCGAAGAATTTTTTTTTTTTTTTTTTAAGTTAAGGGAGTCTAAAGCTGCCTCTGCCTCATTAAACAGCTCAATTGGCTTCCAAAGCATTTTTTACTTGAACTGAAAATGGGAACACTCTCAACTTTATCCTATGTTTGAAGATTCTTCCTTGTAAAGTGATATTGGGTTGTGTAATAAACTCTAACAAAACATCTGTAGTACAACTCAGTGACATCTCATCTGAGCTATGGTTCAATGGCATAAACAGAGTTGAAGGAAAGATAAATTCAGCTATTTAAACATCATGTGTGCAGAAACCTAAATCTTTCATTGGAAAGTTGACCAATGATGCATAGAATGAAACAGAAATAACTGTCACAGGGACTGGAGAGTGATCTAGGAGGTTTCCTAGGGGGAAGAGCTGGGTTTATTTATTTGTTTAAATCATTGTATGCTTTTGGAGTTGCTGAAATTTTTCACCACTCCCTTTTTCAGTAGAGTTGAGGTGATTTCTGGCAAGACGATTGTTACAGTTTTGAAATGAACAACAGTAACAACTACAACAAAACTAAACAGTTCAGAGACTAAATCCCAGTTTTAAGTTTCCAGAGATTAAATACAAAAACACTTTGAGCCTTGGTGAAAAGGCTGAAGAGAGAAATGAATTTCATGTAAAAATCAATTGCTCTGTTCACTGACACGCAGTGACAGAGCTAATAATTGTGTCCATGTAAAATCAGACCCTCTTGTTACTTTTTAATGAAGTCTGTCTGATTCTGTGATATTTTTGGCCTAGGAAATGAAAGAGATGTTTTATTAAATGAAACTAGGTCTACATAGGTAAAGTATTTGACTATAAGTATGTAATCATATTGTACAATAAAAAGCAAATATAAAAAATAAATCAGAGACACAGATGTAGTTCAGATAAGCTTGTCTCCTCGAGAAGCATTACCCTTGTTTTCAGTGGGACAGCAGCCCGGATTTAGCATTGGAACAATGGCAGAAAGCACTTGGAAGGAAAAGAAAGGTTTTGTCTACCCCTTCTTGGACCCGTATGCCACAGCGTCTGTTCCCTGCTGTGGTGAGAAGTCCAACTCTCCTCTCCGAGCCAAGAAAAATAGGGCCTTTTTCAAACTGTGTGCTCCTAAGATGCTGACAGGAATCAAAAGTGCTTTCTCCAAACAGCATAAAGCCCTTTGCCTGTTTAAAACCCGTTGCTGGGTTTGCTAAGGTGAACAATTTGCTTATTTTCCTTTCTGGTTTTTTTCCTGCCTCTTCTCTCCTCCATTCTTCTCGCTCCCTGATTCATCTGCCTCCTCTCTTTTCTTTCCTCCCTTCCCTCCTTTAGCATTAAAGACACTTGTTGAAAAAGCAGCATTATTGTTGTTAACCACCTTCCCATGGAGGTTATAACTTCAAAGAAGTGCCTATATTTAAACCAACCCATCTATTTTGTTGGGAGACAGTGATATCCTTCAGCCAACTATTAGTTTTCCAAGTGAGAATGTGAATGTGTGTTCCTGTGTGTGTGCATATGGGTATGTGGATGTATACAGGTGCCTGGGTGTGTGTTTGTGCATGCATATTCATGTGATGGCATGTGTTCAAGGCAATGTATGTGGTATGTGTAAATGTATGTGTGAGGGTGTGCATGTGTGGGTAGCACATACATTTTCATGGTAATAAACACACATGGCCATATGCCTGATCTCTGGGTTTCCTTGAGAACTTTTCTTGGGAATCTGATATGCTAGTTCAGGAATGGAAAGATAACAACCTTATATGTCACACATCACCCTGCATTGTATATGCAGAGTACACAGAACTTCCAAGAAATTCCTCGTGGTGAAAAGGTCACCCTTTCTTTCACTTCTGCCTTGGTGTTGATTTGGTGAAGGAGATGGCCTGCAAGAAATCCTGTCCTAACTGGTATGCAGGTGGGTGTGGGCTTGCTTCATCTTTTCCAGTTATCACCCATTCTTAGAGCCCCATTTGTGTCTGAAATGCAACAGAAAATACTTTTCAGGGGGGAGTGATGACTGTGGGCATGGAGAGGGAGCTTCCTAAGGTCACAGCCTCACAGGGAGTGGGGGTGGCAAAGGCATCCTGTCAAAACTGATGAACCCAAAAAATGAGAGCTGCCTCTTTAAAAAAAAAAACAGGTTTTGACAAAATTAGCTTTGCTCTTAGCAGTCTGGGAGTGCTATCAGAATAGGAGCTATAAATTTGTCTAGTAGGGTTCTCTTTTCTTAAAATAGATGGAAGATGGACAGATGGATGGATGGATAGTTGGATGAACTGATACACACATGTACCATGCTAACTTTCTTCCAGTAGGTGGATCTTATGCTCATCCGTCTCTCAGTCTTCAGAAGGTAGGGCACGGGGTAGCAGTATTGTTCTTTTCTCTTCTGGTAAGGACCAGAGAATATGCTGGCATCACCACCAAATTCTTTTGAGCAGTGTAGGGCAGTGGAGAAAACACAGGATTTTGAGTCTGTTGTCAAGATGGCTAGCCTTAGTGTCCCTGTTCATAAAATGAGAAAAAATAATTTCTAAGCTGCAGAGTGGTGGAGAAAGCTAATAGCCATCTATGCCTATAAATTCATATCTATAACCATAGTTCTGCATATGTGTATCTAATCCACAGTGTTTAACTCAGTGCCTTGAACATAGAAGACATCATGACCATAGATACTACTATGTCTACTGTCCATAGTTATCTTACCTATTTTCTCCCCTCCTATGGGTAGTATTTTTACTACAATACATTTTAAAAATAAAAGTCACATCCTAAGTCTGTTGGGTCCTTGCCCACCTTTTTCTGGAAGGCAGTAGCGGCTGTCCTAGCAGTAGTAGGTATATCTATATGGCTTCTAGCTCTGTGTTTTATCTATCTACCTTGCAGAAATTCACATGCATCCCCAGGATTCTTTCTGTTTTGTCTTCTCCTATGACTACTATACAAGCTCAGTCCACCTTTGCTATGTTGAACTATAGTGATCTATGTTCATGTTTTGTAGAGTTCACATTATGAGTATTTTAATAGAAATCCCTCTGACATTTCTCCCATGCTACAAACATTTCATCTCCTACCTCATTTCCTGTGGAGAAGGATGAACCGACCATGCCAAACTGCAGACAAGCTAAGTAGTTAAGGATTTGAAGTGACTTTGTGTCTGAGGCCCAAGGCTCTGACACCTGCGTCTTCCCTTCATCATCATTCAAGGAGGCAGAAGGTCCTTGGAGATCACTGATGCCTCTGTCAGAGCAGTTATAAATAATGATCCTTCCCACATGCCAGATTCTCCTGTAAGCATTTTACACAGATCATTTTATTTAATCTTTGCAGCATACTGCATGCTGCTGTTGTCCCCATTTTATAGATGAGGCCTCCGAGCTGCAGGAAGCTGATGTGACGTGCTGCAGCTTGCAGGACCAGCAAGAAGTAGAGCCGTAGAGAACACCAGTTGCCGTTGACCCCTGCAGTTTGTGCTTCTGTGTATGCCTGTCTCCAGAGAAGCTCAGAGTGGCCTTCTGCATGGTGTCTCACTGCTGCATGCACGTGGCTTTCTCTCACCGTGTGGGCATTGTCAGGAGGAAGCACTTCCTACGTGTCCTCCATAAAAGTTTTGGCTCTGCTTCGTGAAACATCTCTTGTTTTTTCTGTCCTGCCTGTGGGGATTTTGCACAGTTTTCTTCCTCATCCTACATCAGCAGTCAGTGGCTCCTGGCTGAGTTTTGGGCAAGGAACCTGAAATTCCACCCCAACCCAGGAGATAAAACCAGGTCTGAATGGAAAATGTGGACACTCTGACAGCAGCAGCTGGAACCCATGCTTGCATTGAATTATCAGCAGGGCCTCTTGCTGCTGCATGCTTAGGTATTCTTGGGTTTTCTTATGCATTAGAAGATGAGCAGAGAACAGGGAGCAGGGCTTCTCTGTTTCAGACCCCAAACCCAAAGCCAACAACTATCTGTTGAACCTTTTGGTCAGGTAGGATGTTTTTAATCACCAAAAAAGGAATATGGTTCTAGGAACAGAAGGCAGAAATACTGTAAAAGACCAGAAAGTCTGTTAAAACACCACCACCACCATGCTTAACTTCCCTGAGCTCTTGGACTTGCTGAAATTTTCAATTCCTACTTGGAAGCACAAATCTTTTTTTTTTTTTTTTTTTTTTTTGTCTTTTTCCTTTTTATCGGTACCGGGGATCGAACTCACGACCGCCTGCTTGCAAGGCAGGTGCTTATGCCACTGAACTAAATCCCCAGCCCCGGAAGCACAAATCTTAATCATGCCACCTCACCTCTTAGCTTCAGATAGTTTAGCAAAAGCCAGGGTCAATGTAACAGGTAGATTTGGTGCACAGTGAGATTCAGTGGTGTGTTCTGTTGGGGGATGTGTCATCTCTTTTCCTTTTCCTTGTCCTCCCCACCTCCCATAAATTCTATGAGGGTTGTTTCCAGCCATTCCAAACCCTTCCTTTTTTTTTTTTTTTTTCTCTATTCACTGATTCTTAGTCTCTGAGGTTCAACCTTCAAGTGCTAACAAGCATTATACTTGTATCATACATCCTGGAAGATAAAGATGGACAAAGTCTCCCAGATGGCTGGATTTCTTTTGGTCTTAAGTGTCCAGCAAATGCCCCGAGGTCACTGAGGAAGTCTGGCTAACCCAAATCCCTGTGATCTTCATTCTGGACTGGCACAGTCAGGTGCTGGAGCCATCATGCCTGTACCTTGCAGCCCTGGGACCCAGGCACCCACACGTGTATCAAGATGCTGAGACTTTTATTCAGAGCTTATGTGGTGTGATCAAAGAATATGGGAAATGTCATCAGTGCCCCTCCAAATATCCCCTGCTTACTTCAGACAAGCTTATTTGCTCATGCTTGACAACATGTCTCTTACTGCTATACATTTTTGTTTAAAATTTAAACATTCACCACGTTTTTCAATCGCCCCCTCGTATTTTCTGGATTATGCGTATGGTATTGCTCCTCAATTGTCTGAGGTTATAAAGGGGGTGGCCCTATCTCACTTAGGTCATTGGAGCTTCTCCACTCCTGTGCCGAGAGTGTGTTCTGCGTTCTATACCTCCTCATGTCCTTATTCATTACATCATAAATTTCCAGGCAATGTAGTTCACTGGTTTTACCACTCTGGGGGCTATTGTATGCAGTAGGTTAACTCATCAGTTATGCAATAAATATTTATTACTCATAGGTACCAGTTTAACTAAGATTGTGCACCAGAGACATACATATGGATAAGCCAAGAAAAGCCCATGGCCCATTTTTTGATGTTCACAGTAGGATGGCTTATAAAATTAAAGTGAAAGTTAGAAACATTGTATTCTGTCATCAAAACAAAAACATAAAAGTAATCTTTTATGAACTAGCACAAAGAAATACTATGCAACACTGAAAAATAATCTAGCACATAAACCTCAGAGGTCCAATGTTAAAAAAATACAAGCAGTAACAGGATATATTTCTATTTCTATCAAGTTCAAAACATGGAAAGTAATGGGAAACCAATTAATATATCACTTTGAAGCTACTGAATGCATGGAAATGCGTCCACACACATATATGGGGGAAATGTATATATGTAAAGATACATAGGGAGCTTCCAATCTATTATTATTTATTAGCCTCTGTATAGGAAACATATTTATATTTCACATATTATACTGCTTTAAATATGTTTTAAATATATCATATTAAATATGGCAGAAAAAGCTGCTTCCCACTCCCAATTCACTCAGTGTTATGCAACTGAGTTATTTTACAGACTTACTCTGCGGAACTTGCTGGGTGGAACAGTGGCAGAGGTAAAGGACTTAGGTAAAGTGACAAGAAAAGGATCTGAAGGGAAACACCGGGGAGGGGTTGACTCGAGGACTTTTGCATTAGTTGTGACTTCTATGAGCAGTGCAGCCCACCCATGAGCCCCAGTCCTGGGGAAATGGAGGTCGGTTCAGGTGCATGTTCTGGCTCACAGAAGGTGCTCTTCCTTCAGATTGGATGCTGTTAGTGCTTTCCACATCGCTCTTGGCCCTGTTACTACCTGCTCCTCCTTCCTTTCATTATGTTTTACTGACCCTCCAGCGTGCATCAGATGTGACATTTCTCAGTGTTTCCTGCTTCCCCTGACCTCCAGCTAGGAACCTACATTTGTGGCTCCTAAATTCATAACCATGGTGCCCTATTAATTTGAATGTTTCATTGTGCTGCTTTGAAGAACCTTAAGACAAAAACCTTATCTCACATACCTGTAATATAATATCACCATTAAGAAAAATTTTAAGCATCTCTGCAGCATTATTGTCTAATCCACAGTTCAGCCTCCAACTTCATCATCTCAGTATTGACCTTGACACCATTTTTTTTCAAGACCCAGAATCTGATCCATCATGCATCTTATTTAGTTGTGTTTAGTATCTTTGCATCTACAACAGTAACAAGTTCTTGCTTTGTCTTTTGTGATCTTGACATTCTTAATAAGGGCAGCTCAATTTGGCTTCTCCAACTGTGATCTCTTTTTTGATGGGTAGTCCTTAGGAGTGGTAATTCTGTGTTTTCCTTAGTGCATCACACTGAGAGGCATATCATGTTGGTTTTTTCCTTTACTGGTAATACCAACTTTAATCCCTTTTTTCAGAGAGTGTCTCCTAGATGTCTCTGCAAACAAAACAAAGAAATGAAAAACTTTCCTACTACAATTAGTGAATATTTTGGAGTTAAGGGAATGATTTTAGACTTCAAAGTATCATCTAACATCATATCCTCTTTTACTAATTTTACCATTGATCAGTGCATCTTGTCTGAGTTAGTTATTACTATCATGTCCAGCAAATGATGCTTTTCTAACTTCATCACTTACAGATATTAATTGGTGTTCTTTTTTGTTTCATGCATGTTTTCCTTTTTATCATTTATATCAATATGGAGTCACGAATTTATATTCTGTTTGGTGGATTATGACCTTCCCAGTCCTTACTGTCCTAGATGTAGTCATGAGATGCACCTTCCAGCTGGCTCTTGTGTCCCTTAGACAGAATTCCATAGTTTCCTACATCATATTTATTATGTATTTGTACCATGAAGTATTCTGGACACATCTTGAACTTTTCTAACCTTGCCTTGTTTAGACTGAGCCATCTCTCCCAGAAGCCTGCATTTCCTGTACTGGAGAATGTACTGAAAGCAGAGTTCTGGGTTATCATGGCTCCCAGACTCTAAATAGATAAGGTGGGTAGAGTTGGAAGAAAAATACACATACAGTAGGTCCATTTTAAAGGTGTTTCATTATTACATATTTGCAATTCGTACTATTTGCATTCCTGGTATGGAGTTGGTACATGTGGTACATGTACATAACACATCTTAATTCTATGTTTTATCCCATTTCCCTTCTTTCCCTTCTCTCTTCCTTTATTCTTGATTCTCTTCCTATTTAAGAAGTATCTCCCTACTTCCTATTATCTATCTTTCATTGTGCTCTTTATTTATATTTTGAGTTTTCTATGTAAGAAAAACATTTGATATTTAATTAAGCCTGTATATCTGATTAGTATCTATCTTTTGAAAGCAATGAATTTATTAACTTTCTCTAAGGATTGCTTTCCTTCTAACAAAATGTGTTATCTAGGCTAAATTTTCCCACCTACCCGATATCACTTACTGTGACAAGTTCTCTTTTCTCTTTTATTGAATACAAGGTCCTTCATCCAAGAGACTTTGTATTTTTTCCCATTCTGTATCCCTGTTGGCAAATGTCTGGTGCATACTGAGTGCTCAGTGTAGATGAGTGGAAGTGTTGAGTAGGAAAAGGTTTGGTGGGCATATGGTTGGGTGCAGGGGTATTTGTTAGGAGTTCACCTGGGGGGGGGGAGATACTGTTAAATGAAGTGTGGTTATGTTTCAGGTAGGTAGGGAGTCATAGTACATTTAACAATGTGTTGCTTCTTGTCATGCATGTGGACTCACTGATTCCAGGATACTGTTCCATGCATGGATTTGGTTCCACTTGGTCTTACAGCCAGTAGGAGTTCATTCAGTATCTTGTTTGTCTCTGTATGAATATTACTTTCAATTCTTTGTATCATCAGTGTATTTAATATAAAAAGTACTTACTGTTCACCTAGTCAATAAGTCAGTCAGTCAGATAACAATGAAAATATTATCTTCTTTGCTTAGCTTCTCAAGGAACAAAAATGTTTTGTTTTTTCAGCACTAAGTATAGACTTGATTCATTCTCTTTGGGTACACATTTCCCATGGGATTATACAAGTAGTGATCTTGGATTCAAGAATGGATAGACATTGTTTAATTTGTAGTTATTCATGTAATCAGGAATAAATTTTACATTGGAGCTGGTATCTAACATTATAGTATTTGGGAACATTTTGTGATAGGGAATTAACTTTGGTGGAAACACAATTTTTACAGTTGATATAAATGGATGCTTGGTAATACCAAACCTGCACTGTAAATGACGTTTTGGTCAATAAGACCAACTCTAAAATAATGTTCCATAAAATTATAGTGCACCTCTGAGGAATTCCTGTTGTTAATGCCTTTATGAAACCATATTGCAACACAGTTTTTGCATGTTTGTGGTGCTTCTAGTATAAATATACC